TAATACTTTTACTCATAACTTTGGCAATAGTAAATAGATTTCAGTAACTGACCTATCATTTAAAGCATATAAATAATAATGATAATATATTTTAATAATAATAATAATAATAATAACAAAAGCACTAAGTAGAGAGCGCCCACTGCAAATCCCTTTCTCAAAAATAAATCCCTAAAAAGTATGTTGATACTTTCGAACCACCAACCACCACCTACTTAAAAAAAAGTACACAAGCTTAAACACGAAAGTTGCATTCGAATCAGTTGATTACTTTTTGGGATATCTGATCTGGGACATTTTGCTTTGAATAGTCCATATATTCCCATCCACACCAAAATTTAATCACTTAATTTTTTGAATGCCTTTTATTGTATAAGTTGTACACCAGCCAATGCCTTACTTCTTCTTCTTCTTCCTCGTTCACCTCATTTAGATGATGATCAGTATCTTTGATGAGGGCTGCTGTCCTTCGTAGATCTTCCGGGGTTCTATAGAGTTTTTGGTATAGTGTTGTTGGTACTTGCCAAGTTTGGTTTCTTTCCATTTCTAGGTCTGATCAGTGCTGTAGAATGTGGTCCGTTGTCATAGGTCTGGAACCACAGGGGCAGATATCTGTCTCTCAAATACCAAATTTGGTATACGTCAGGTGATGGCGGAGACGATTATGGCCTGTCCTCAGTCTGAATATCGTTACTTGGTCAGAGCGTTTTGATAGGTAGTAGTAACTATCTTTTGGGTTATGTCCGGGATGTTCAATGTTCCATTTATGTTTCTGGAGAGTCTTGATGATTGCTTTTGCTTCCTTATAAGTTACTTTGTTATGTGTTTGTTATTTTTGTGCTAGTGCTTCTTTTGCCAGTGTATCTGCATGCTTTTTCATTTCCTCTAATGCCGCAGTGTTCTGGTATCCATTGCAGTACAACACACTCAACCACTGCATTTAGGTTGGTGAGTGCTGTGGATAGAGGATTAAGTTCCTTGTTCTTTGAGTCTTTTAATGCTTGGAGTGCAGACAGTGCGTCGGAAAATAGTACCACTTTTCCAACTGTTCTTGTTTTATTTTGTATCAAGGTGATTGTTGCTTCACACAGCGCTTCCATTTTGGCTCTAAAATTAGTGGAGTGCTTTCCTGTTGGAATGCTACGCTCTTTCTCTCCATCTGTAGGTTATTGTTCATGGATAAAGTCCATAGTTGGGTTCTTTGGTTCGTTGTCTGCTTGTGTCTTTCTTGCTTCAATGCCTTCTGGCTTTAACACACTGGAACGTCACACTCTTATACCTGACAAAAAAATACATACCATGTATTAGTGTTCAAATGGAAATATTATGCTAATAAATATGGGGGTTTGGTTTTTAGCGTCACATTGTATAGATGTATTATAATTCCAAATAGTTCGGAAAAAAGTTAATACATATAAAACGCTGTACAGTTTACTGTATTTACAGTAATACAGTAAACCAATTTTTTAAATGGTCCTAAAGATATTTAGGTGTGGGACCTGGTTCCATGCACACCCGACTTTGGATCGTCACCAACAATTCAAATTTATTTTCCTTGTAACTTGATTAAACTTTCAGTTTAAAGTTTCATTTAGATCATTTTATTAGTTTTTTAAATATCTGGTCTTGGATGTTTTCATTTGAATGGTTCTCATATCCATACCCTTTTTTCATTGAAGCATGACAAATTATTGTGGAAAGGGAAATTTTAATCCATTGATTATTCTTAGAGATAATAAGGTGGGACCTTAGGATTTTAAATGACCCTCAAATTCACACCTGAATTTCGATCGTCATCAACACTTAATAATGTCTTCCTTGTAACTTGGTTAAACTTTCACCAAACTTCCACACCCTACTCTGGACCGTCATTTTTTCATTGGGTTATTTCTAATACTCCATGTTATTTTAATTATGTCTGTGCAGCTGTTTCTTGAGATAATTCAAACACAAACAAACACACAAAGTCAATAAAAGACACCTCAGAAGTCGGGAAAGCTCATTTCCCTTTTTTTTTTATAGATTTATTGATACTTGGAAAAAAGAATACGTATGCAAATCAATTTTTTTTTTATATATCACATACTGTATTAAGAATGAGAAAAATTAACCTGACCATTTTCAAGAGGGGAAAACCTTGAATTTTGAAGAAATTCAAATTAAAGTCACTTCAGAAGTCGTGAAAGCTCATTTCCTGCTATTTAGAAAACAACACTTTTCCAGGGAGAACCTGAATCCCCCTTTCACATTGGGGTTCATTGATTCATGGAATCGTTTTCAAGAGGGGGGAACCTTGAATTTTTGATTACTTAAAAGTCATTAAAAGACACCTCAAAAGTCAGAAAAACTCATTTCCCGCCATCTAGGAGTAAAAATTTTCCAGGGGGAAACCCCCAGATCAACCTTTCTCTTGGGGGTTTATCGATTCATGGAAACAATAATATTGTACGTATGAACTACTCTATTCTTTTATGTATGTATACACACATAACAGGCCTTTTTAATGTAACAAGAATGAGAACATTATACAGTAAGCTAACCATTTTCAAGAGGGGGAAAACCTTGAATTTTGAACTTGTCATTACGATACACCCAGCTCAAAAGTCGGGAAAGCTCATTTCCCAGCCTCCAGGAATCAATATTTAAGGATCCTGGGACTGCCTTCTTTTTTGGGGTTTTGGGGAATATTCTGACCCCCACCTCCTACATTTGAAGCCAGATCCCCCTGATTCATATTCCCATCCATTTTACTATTTGGGTACCCCCTCCCACTTTGAAAACATTCCACCAGCCCTGCATTCTCAACCAACAATAGTTCTTTGCAGAAAGTTGTGTACTGCAAGCATTAATATATATAAAATGCATACTATCATTTTCATTCTGCATGTAATATTTAATTATGTTATGATTAATAGTTCATAAAATTAAAATTCAATTATTTGACCAAACTTATATATTTTTTTATAGAATTATAATAATTATAAAATTAACAATTAAACATTTTGATATTTATGGTGCATTTGTATTTTCTCATCCTAAATCTAATTAATGCAATTTATTTTTACTATAGAAATTTTGAGGAAATTTTAAACATTGCACCTCTGCAACAAGTGGAACAGCCCTGTTTGGCTGAATGGCGAATTTTGCTTCCTACTGAATGGTGAGTATGCTAGAAAAACTGATTTCAGATTTGATACTTGTTTCTGAAATTATTTGATTTACATGTAATAATAAAAATGTTTGTTTTAATAATTAATAACTTTAAATTGTTTTTATAAGTTTGCGTAAATGTTTCAATTAAAGGTAACTTTAAATATTCTCCTCTTCCACTGGACTTAAAAATCGTTGTATAAATTTGCGTAAATATTTCAATTAAAAAAAACTTTAAATATCCTCCCTTTCCACTGGACTTAAAAATTGTTGTAGAAATTCAATAAATGTTTCAATTAAAGTAACTTTATATTTTCTCCCTTTCTACTGCACTTAAAAATCGTTGTACCAATTCAATTGCGTAAATGTTTCAATTAAAAGTAACTTTAAATGTTCTCCCTTTCCACTGGACTTAAAAATTGTATAAATTTGCGTACATATTTCAAATAAAAATAAATTTAAATATTCTCCCTTTCAACTGGACTTAAAAATTATTGTATAAATTTGCGTAAAAGTTTCAATTAAAAGTAACTTTAAATATTCTCCCTTTCCACTGGACTTAAAAATTACTGTATAAATTTGTGTAAAAGTTTCAATTAAAAATAACCTTAAATGTTCTCCCTTTCCAGTGGACTTAAAAATTGTTGTATAAATTTGCGTAAATGTTTCAATTAAAAATAACTTTAGTTTCCCTTTCCACTGGATTTAAAAATTTCTGTATAAATTCAATTGTGTAAATGGTTCAATTAAAAGTAACTTTAAATATTTTCCCTTTCCACTGGACTTTAAAATTGTTGTTTCAATTAAAAGTAACTTTAAATAGTCTCCCTTTCCACTGGACTTAAAAATTGCTGTTTAAATGCAATTGCGTAAATGGTGCAATTAAAAGTAACTATAAATAGTCTCCCTTTCCACTGGACTTAAGAATTATTGTATAAATTTGCGTAAATGTTTCAATTAAAAATAACTTTAAATATTCTCCCTTTCCACTGTTCTTAAAAATTGTTGTATAAATTTGCGTAAATGTTTCAATTAAAAATAACTTTAAATATTTTCCCTTTCCAACCACTGGAAAGGGAGTAATGTTACTTTAAATATAATGTTGAATATTTTCTTTCCACTGAACTTGTATATTTTGTTCTTTCAGAATGTGGCAACTGATTTGGCAATTAAAGCTTTCTATTTCAAGTAATTATTCTCTGTAATTTAGTATTGTTTTGGAAACTCAATAAATATTCATTGTAATTGAGTATTGGAGTATTTTGAATAAATAAATATTCATTGTATTCAGTTTAGTATTGAGTATTTTTTCTTCTCGAGCATTAAAAAAGCAGGATGAGCAGGATGGGAAAAAAAAAAAGCGCCCTCGAATAGAAAAAGGCCAGAACATTACATGACATTAATGTTACTGAACAATATGCTATGTAGCAATACAGCATCCTTTAGTTAAGAAATTATGTTAAAGGGCATTGATCTATTAAGTCGCACCTCCACACTATCAAATTTTATGTGTTATGCCCATATTTGGATGTAATATGACGTCATCATGCCAAAAAGGGATACATTACACAAATTTGTCAAACACAATTTGATAGTGTGTCGCTTCGTAGAACTTACTAAACTCCTGAAGTAAACACCGTCTGCATATTTTGGTATATCCTCATGAAAGGTCTACAACCTAGAGATTAAAGAACAGAAGAACAATGAGAGGAAGCAATAAATGATTGAAATATTTTTCATTACAGTTAATCAAGGAATCAATTTCCCGCTTCAATGCCGAGTAATAAAACAAGAAGACTGACTGCAGTCGGCTGCATACCTTCCTGCTTGAGCAAATTTAATCAAGGGCGAACCTACCTCCTGCTGTGTCGAAGTTGGGCACCCCATGAATAAAGACATAATGAAGAAAGAGTGGGCTGTTATTAATCTGGATGGATCTTGTCAACAACCCAGAGAAATACTCGATGTAGCGATGCTGGGAAGGGTGCATGGCTGACCCGGTTTTTGCATCCAGAAAGCGCCTCATAGCGTATCTATCTAGTGCTGTATCGGTACTGGAATTTGAAAGACAGAAATGATTTTGTTAAATATGGTACAGTAATTGAATTATGAAAATGAAGACAACAGTATTTAATGAAGATAATGCTTTATTAAGTTTTAAAAATAAAAAAATATTTTAGTATTTCAGAATTTACCTGTTACTAAAATTTAAATAGCCCATGTATGCAGAGACAACGACACCTATGGGACCACGTCCTCCCTAAAGGAAATAAAACATCAGGTTAATAGATTTAACAGCAAAATATTGATAAATTACAGTTGACTTTAGGTCAGCTCTTTTAATTATAAAACTATTAACTTTTTGTACAACGTTACACTAAAATCTTTAACAATAAGTTTGTTTATAAATAAAACAATACCAAATTTAATTCTAGGGACATTAGAAATATCTATAATTAATATTAATTAGGAACTAACCTTGCAGTGTATAACAACAACATGTGATGCATCAGCCTTTAGCCAAGTTTCAATCTGTTTACAAATACTGCAAAGTTTCTCCAGTGGGGGCGCTAGTTGGTCGGGCCAACCGATATCGACAACCTAGAAATGAGGAATCAGATTCAAGCTAAAAGATCAAACCAGAAAGTCAAGTACCTGTGGTGGGAATTGAAACAAGGTAAACAAATACTTTTACTTTGTAAAAGTGGCTACTGTATGGGACAATAACATCATCTGCAGTTCCTGAAAGAGGAACTAGGCTTGTAAACCTCTCAAGGTGTCCCATACCTCAATAGTAGGCCTATCAGCACCCCCTTATTTCAATGACAGTAAAATAAATACTTTGATATTAGTCTATCAATCCATTCATTCCACAATTTATCATAATAAATTACAGGCAAATTCTTGGGTTACATACTTCAAATGATAGTAACTTGCTACTTTTTTTCTAACAAATTTATCATCTTAATTATTACTATTTCTCCATCCAAAGTTATTATTTGATTTGTCATTATTTATTGTACATTATGCAATACCTTGAGAACAAAGGTGTTAAATGAGAAAATCAAAGGGTACTACATTGGCAGAGCATCCAAATTATATTTTTCAAGGTCTTGGTTTTAAGTCCTAGCTGGGACAATACATTTTTTCATAAATATATTACCGTGATTCAAACGAAGATTCTTACCTGCATGTTAAGTTTGTTGATGTCATGGCGACGGCGGGAAAGATTAAAGAACAAGTAGTTGTTACCATGTTTCCGCTGCAGCATATGTACCACATCCTTGAGGTTGGCTTGATACTGTGATTCCAGTCCACCAGCAGGGAAGGACATGGCTAATAGAACATTACATGACATTAATGTTACTGAACAATATGCTATGTAGCAATACAGCATCCTTTAGTTAAGAAATTATGTTAAAGGGCATTGATCTATTAAGTCGCACCTCCACACTATCAAATTTTATGTGTTATGCCCATATTTGGATGTAATATGACGTCATCATGCCAAAAAGGGATACATTACACAAATTTGTCAAACACAATTTGATAGTGTGTCGCTTCTAAGGCCCAATAAAAATTTGTTATTAATATATCACCCTCACCTCCATGTCTTCTATGGTATTGAAAAAAAATGTTAGTAATAGTTAGTAGATATTATTAGTATTATCTCAATCATGTATTTTACTTTGAATATGCACCAGCAGATAACCCAAGGGTGATATTGGCTGCCAGCTATACCAATTATAGTCGGGTGGAAAGAAGCAACACAGATATAAAGTGGAGAGGAGACAATCCTACCAGGTAATTGTCTTGGGTGGAGAGAAGCAATGCAAATAAAGTGGAGAAGAGACAACCCTACAAGCTATACCAATTATAGCCTTGTGTGGAATGAAGCAATACAGATAAAGTGCCTTAAACAAGGACTCAAGCTAAATGCATAACAAGGGATTGAAGCCCCACATGATTACTGTTACTGAACTACTTCCACAATTTTTTCATCTTAAAAAAATAACTAGGCTTACTTTGATCATAAAAATTGGCATCAAATTGAAAAAAAAAAAAAAAAAAAAACAAGAAACAGTAAGGTTAAGACATGATAATTTTAAGGAACGTAGAAATTATATCATCAGTTGGAAGATTCAAAGGACTTTCTTTATTTTTCGTTTTTTGTTTTATGGTGTAGAAATAGGAAAGGTCCACCACTGCAGTTAAGCATCTCAGACCACCGGGGGACTGGGTTCCCCTCCCCACTTTTTGGCAGAAAATATATAATGTCTATGAAGAATTTTGTATGATCAGAAAGAAAAGAAAGAGGAAAGAAGGAGAAGATCGGGCGGAAAGAGAGTGTTTATCCAATCCCCAACCGAGTTACATTTTCTCGCAAATCACATTGGCGGATCTGGGGTGTCAGGGGTCTTGATCCCCCTCTCTTAGTCAAAAAATAAAAAATAAATAAAAACTTCTAGGTTTACGGCGTTTCAGGACCTGTGAGCTGATTTTTTTTTTGAAGAAAATTAGAAGTCAGGAAAGCTCATTTCCCGCCATGTAGGAATCAAACCATTTTTTTAATTTTTGGGGTTTATCGATTCATGGAAAAAACGTATACTGGTACACACACATACATACATGACATAAAAACTCTTAATTCTTAATTATTTGTATTGTGTATATATATTTAAGAATGTTTGTGTTACTTGCATTGCATTTCAATATTTGTTTAATTATAATGTACGACTTTGAAAAACTGTTCACAAGTACTGAAAGTGCAGTAAAAAGACAGAATAAATAAATAAAATATCCTTGTACTATAAAAATAAGAAAATATTTATTAGTCTAACATGATTTTGCAAATTAATTTTCATCAGCGTGTACAAGTATATAAAATGCACAGGCCTACCTAATCACATCAAAAATCCTTTTCGAAACAAGCCGTGTTCGTCCGCCCGACTCTATTTCCACTATGCCATGCACACCTAAAAAGAAACTGCACTCGTATTATTTGCTAACAGAACTTAAAATTCTATAAAAAAAAAAATACAAATTGCAATTGTTTTAATTTAACACATACAATACATAGGCCTACTTCGTTTTGTTGATACGCACACCACAAATATACCCCATAATCATAAAACAATGGCGTTTTTTTTTGCTAAAATACAGCTTGTCCACAATATCCGTCATCAACTCATGTCAAGTGGTTCTTTAGAATTCACAATTTGCTACACAGGTGGGTGCGTCCAGGATATTAGGTGAAAATGGCCACAAGAATTACTAAAGTTTAATTATTAGAATAGATAATCTTTATCCAAGGGTATAAATAGAGATTATATATTTGCATTAAAAAGTATTGACTGGGAAAACATTTGAGGACAAAAACACAGGGAATTACAAAAAGCAACTTATTTCCACCCTGGTTCCCAAATGAGAATACTAAAATACCAGAGAAATAATAGAACTATAAATATGGAAACAACACAATAAATACATTTTAAATACCACAGAAAATTCAATTTTGAAACATCAAATTTAAACTATATTGTATTATGAAGTTCAGATATATAATGGTTCCTAACAGTACCATTATTAAAACACAGGGTTTTTTTCATCTTACCAGTCAGTTGTCCAGGTATTTAAACACAAAACAAATCCTTTATTTACCACCACACCATGCCATCACTGTCACGGAGAACAGAAATTGGATGCAAGCCAACAGTACCTAAATAAGCGAAAAAATAATTATATAATAAATCAACAGTGGCAGATCCAGGAATTCGAAAGAGAGGTAAACCAGGGAGGGACTTTCACAGACCGAGGAACCACCCACCTCAGCCCCACCATGGTTGGGGCTG